CTGTAGGGGTTCCAGGGTAATGTTAGAATATATCAGTACGCTTCAACAACTAAGGTCTTTTAAGCGCGTGTTCTAGATTAGCAAATACACGTGTCATCAATAATTAAAGATCAGGAGAGCAATATTTCCCTGGTTACCTACACCTAAACAAAGACAGACATACAGACGTATTGCACATGTTTATCCCATACATATACAGCTCTGAACAATGACTAAATTGTCGCTGGCTCTCTACATCTCTATACAGGCTCTCTACATCTCTATACAGGCTCTCAATAAGGCCTCTAAAAAGTCTCTACATGTCTACAAGTCTTCTACACGGTATGTACACTCACGCTCCATAGTTTCGATGCACTCTCTACCCCTACTCTTGGCTCGAGGGAAGTCTTAGTCATGGCTGCATACCGAACCGTCCCTCTTGTATAGTGATGTTAGGTATAGTAATGGAAAATAATGTGTTGTGAAAGCACTAACATCCTGTATCGTGCATATATTCTCTCAAATATTACATCATGAACTGCTATTCGTACAATCCAGCGAAGTTTCGAGCTACCACATTGCACCACTGAATTTTGGGTGGAGGGAAATGGGAGGGGGGAACGTTTAGTATAAAGTCAAGGCTACGACTTTCATCGAATCAGGGGTAGGGGGGGGGGTAGAGAGTGCATCGAAACTATGGCGCGTGAGTGTACATCTCTATAAGGTCTGAACAAGGTCTCTAGAGGTCTCAACATCTCTACATGCTCTGAAAAAGGTCTCTAGAAGGTCTGGGCATCTCTACATGTTCTGAACATGGTCTCTAGTAAGTCTGAACATCTCTTTATGCTCTGAACAAGGTCTCAACATCTCTATATGCTCTGAACAAGGTTTCTAGAAGGTCTGAGCATCTCTACATGCTCTGAACATGGTGTCTAGAGTGTCTGAACATCTGAACAAGGATTGTAGAAATTCTCAACGTCTCGACATGCTCTGAACAAATTTTCTACATGGTCTTTAAGGCTCTATAACTCTTAAAATGCTTCTGTGTCTCTAAATGGCTTAAATATCTCTCCAAATTTCTACAGGCTCACAAGGTCTCTACAAGTTCACAAGAACTTTACGGATTCACAAGATCTCTACAGATTCACAAGGTTTCTAAGGGTTCACAGGGACTCTACAGGTTCACAAGGACTACAGATTCACAAGGTTTCTAAGGGGTCACAAGGACTCTACAGGTTCACAAGGAATCTACAGGTTCACAAGGTCTCTACAGGTTCACAAGGTCTCTACAGGTTCACAACGTTTCTACAGGTTCACAAGGAATCTACAGGTTCACAAGGTCTCTACAGGTTCACACGTATCTACAAATTCACAAGGTCTCTACAGGTTCACACGGTCTCTACGAGTTCACAAGATCCTTACAGGTTCACAAATGTCTCTACGAGTTCACAAGGTCTCTGCGGGCTCACAAGGTTCACAAGGGTTCACAAGATAATTATGTTGATCTACTAGACAAAAACAATCAAACTGCAAAAAAAAAATTCCTTGTTCGATGAGTAGGCACTTTAGTTTCCTGTATGGTAGTATGGAAACAAGCAGATGAAGGAAATATAAGTCTCACCTTCACCCATCGGCGAGACTGTTTTCTAAAGAATTTTCACTTTCACAGCAGGTAACGCACACACACACACACACACACACACACACACACACACACACACACACACACACAACTACTACTTTGCTGTCACTCGGAATTGAGTATGGCGATCAACCTGCTATGCTAAAGTGATATGAGTTATTAAGGATGTCACCTTCGTTGGTGAGCTCTGAGGCGACTAGAGAGGCCAATGCGGGAAACAGTAGAGTCATCCACAAATGTTGCAGGTGTGGAGAAGTACATCTAGTGCGGGAGGGACAGCGGCAGCGTCTTTCCGGGGATGGCGCTTGTCTGCCTCGTTATGCAGTCGGGCTAACTCGAAAGTATTGACACCTTCTCGTGTAATGCTTCTCCAAGCGTTTCGGTGTGGAGTATTGTCTCCCAGGTGAGGTGGTCGATTTGGCACCGTTTCAAGTTTGTCTTATGACTATCCTCATACATTTTCAGTAGGCCGCCAATATTACCTTTACTATTCGTTAGGTGACTGTAACGTACATGCTGTGGCAGTCTACTGTCGTCCATGCGGGTAACATGGCCAGTCCAACTTAGTTGATCATGGCTGCTCTTACAGTTGGTGTCAGCGAGATTACTGGCATTACTTCTCCTGTATTCCCAGCGAATTCGGAGGATGGAACGTAGACTACGTTGGTGAAAGTTTTCAAGTGCCTTAAGGTGCCTCCTGTATGTGACCCATGTCTCGCAGGGTGGGGATGAGCACTGCTCGATATACGTGCAACTTTGTAGACAATTTCAGCTCCCTAGAGCTGAAGATACGGGTAAGGAGTCTGCCAAAGGCTTTTAGCTGCAAATCTGATCCGATGTTGAATCTCTTCATCGATGTCCGAGGTGGGGCACCGGTGGGAGCCGAGATACTGAAAGTGGGTAACATTAGAGAGGATAGTGCTGTTAAGGTGGATGGATGGTAGGCTGAAAGAGAATTTGAGTCTTACGTGCATTCACCTCAAGGCCGAAATGTGCATACGCATCTGCGTCGGTGTTCAGGATCTCTTTTAGGTCATGTTCAGTGTGAGCGACAAGGGTTAGGTTGTCTGCATACTGAAGTTCAGTAATGGAAGCTTCTGACACCTTTGTTCCTGCCTTGAGTCGTCTTATGTTGAAAAGTCCCTTCATCCGGTACTGGATGTTCACCCCGCCGGCTAAATTAGCACTGGCACGAGTAAAGAAGGCAGCCAAGAAAATGGAAGTGAGAGTTGGTGCCAGTACACATCCTTGTTTTACCCCCGTTTGGATGGGGAAAAACTCAGACTGGGTGCCATTGTGTAGGACACTCCTGTTCATGCCATCGTGGAATTGCCTCACAATGATGATGATTTTTGGTGGGTAGCCAAATGGCTAAGGTTCCGCCAGAAGGCTTCCCTGTTAACTGAATTGAAGGCCTTGGCTAGGTCGATGAAGGCCATGTACAGGTCACGATGCTATTCTCTACACCTTTACTGTATCTGGCAGGAAACAAAGTTCGTGTCAGTTGTGTCATGTGATGGTCTAAAGCCATGGCAAAATTCTGGGAGGGAGTTTTCCGCCTCAGGAACAAGTCGGTTTAGGAGGACTCGGGCGATAATCCCGCCAGCAGTAGTTGCCACAGTCTGACCGGTCTCCTTTCTTCTTATAAATATTGACAATGGAGACGTGTTTAAGAGCTTGGTGCATTTCCTCCCTTTCTGATATATTCTTCAGGGGAGAGCTGCTCTCTGAAAGCATGTGTTACCGCTGGATCTTCCAGATGCTTAGTGTAATAACCTCTTCTGGTGGCTTATTGCCTTTGTCGTTTTGGGGCGACGTGCAGTGACAGTTTAGCTCTGACAAACTGATGGTCAGTGTCTCAGTGGCTTGGGTGATGAGGACATCTCGGCAATCTCTTTCTCTTACAATGATGAAGTCAATGAGATGCCAGTGTTTGGATCGTGGGTGTTTTCACGAACTCTTGAACTTGTCGGCCTGCCTAAACAAAGTATTGGTGATAGTTAGGTTGTGTGCTGAGGAGGAGGAGGAGGTGGCCGTTGAGATTACACTTGCCTAGTCCATTTCTCCCTATAATTCCCTTCCAAATGTCCGCATCGATGCCAACTCTGGCATTGAAGTTACCTCTGAGTACAACCTTATCTTCTCTGGGGATAGAGGTTAGCACTCTGTCAAGGTCGGCGTCAAGGTCGCCTGTGTAGGATGCATTGGCAGATGCCAAAACCAACTCCATAATTGCAGTTTCTCTCCACAGCAGGCTTATCCTTCCAGAAAAAGGTATAGCAATACCCCCGTTCTGTGAATCGACCCTCGTCTGCGAGCCGGGACTCACTAATGGCTACTATGTCGATGTAATGCCTAGCCAGCTCTTTTGTCACAAGGGCGGTTCTTCTTTCAGGCCGCTCATTTGTGCCAGTATCCAGAAGGGTCCTGACATTCCATGCAGCGACCATAAGAGGTTGTATAGTTCTTTTTTTATGTGATTATGATAGTGTTTTCGACCGCAGATGACCTTACTTGGTGCGCTTGCCCAGTCGGGATGGTCTTTAGGCAGGCTATGTTTAGGGCACCTTTCATAGCCCCCTCCCTATGTGGGGTGAGCAGAGTGGCTCCTTGAAAGGGCTGCTCAGTCGCGTAGACAGGACCGGATTGCACTGCTGCCTAGATCCTAGTACTTAAACGACCATCATATCTAAGCCGCCCATGTGCAGAGTTGTGACTACAGATTCCCGGCAGTCATCTCTGCCTGTCCCCATCGCCACTCGTTCATCGCCAGAGGACTTTTGGGGGCTTTAGGGTTTTGATAATGATTATAAGTATGATGACCTGGATGGTGGCTGTGCATGAGTTGATTTATGTGGTGAGGTAGGAGAGCAAGCTCCCCCTTCTCTGACCCAGTGTTGCAAGTGTTGCAACGACTAGGGAGAGAGCGAGAGAGTTGCAATGGACTGCCGATAGCCCAGTTTGTTGGGTTTCGCCTTAGTAACCTGTCCATCATGCATTGCCTTCGACCACCGGTGTAATCGTTGGGTTCCCATGGTGGTCACCTCCTTCGCCTATACCGCCATTGTAGTCTTGTTGGAGCTCTGTAAGTATGCCAGCCTGAAGTAGGGCTCCACTGCAAATTTTTCGTTCGGAGTTTACTCCCGTATCCTTATGCCTACCAAGTTTAATCTACAAGGCAGAAGGCAGTGGTTGGTAGGTGCCAGGACGTGTCTACATGCCAGTGGGCCTCTGTGCCGTCCCTCTGGGGCCCACTGCTGCTTCGAGATCCCCTGTCTGGTCTAGCCTCGACCCATGAGACACCCAGTTACCGTGTGTTATCACGAGGAGTCACAGCAGGATTCTTGATGGTGAAAAGGCTGTGCACTGGAAGGCGAGG